GCTCATGTCTACTCATAAAACCCTGTTTACATTCTGCTGTCTCTCTATTTAACTGTCTCTGTTGCATCTTTATCTTGTATTATTCTTTTTAAATTTACTCTACTTCTTCAAACACCCCTTGAAGTGCTGTTCCATGCTCACACCTTTTTATCTCTTTGTTTTAACACTTCGATGACTAAGACATTACAGTGTTTACCTACTGTACAGCAAACTTGTAATTGCTTCTTTCCCCACTAAACCAGAACTAATGTCAGATACTTTTTGGGATTAATGAAGATGTGTATCATTGGTGTTTTTCCCAATTAGATATTTAAGAGGATCATCATGATTAAGAAATGCTCACAAAGACCTTCATATGTAGCTCATACACCTCAGTGTTGTGGTTCTGTGTTGGACATACACACACGAACACATACATCAATACAGGATTTAGTCCTATACAGACACACACACACCCAGCAGGTCCTTGTGCTGAAGGTAATTACCCAGGTTAGATGACAGCTTTTCCATTAAGCCACTCTCCAACAGCCACTCTTCACTAGTTTGATTGCACAGTAATGACAAAGAACTAATTAGCATGACAAGTATTCTCTCCAGTGATTGGCTAGAGACCAAGAGTTGTCATTACAATATTCTGCTTCTCAAAGGACCAAATGTTTTTTTTTTTTTTTATTCTTTTCTTTTCTTTCGGGGAGTGTGCAGCTCCTCTGGGACCGTGTGACTAAGAATGCACAAGCTTGCCCAAATGTCAAGTGTGTGTATGAGAGATTATAAAGATTAAGTCAGTGATGGAGTTTGTGTTTATGTGGTTCAGTATACAGCCTGCTTTCAAAGGGGGTGGAGGAGGAGGAGGGTCAAGATACATCACATAATAACAATAATTAATCTGTGGGGAAATCAAAGCAAGTGAGAGAGCCAGAATCAAGCTTCAGGCATTCAGGTGCAGAAATAACCACACAAGACATAATATCACTCTAAAAGAACTCTGTGATTTAAAGGGACAGTTATCCCAAAATAAAAAATACATGTATTTTTTTCCCTCTTATTTGTAGTGCGAATTATCAATCTCGATTGTTTTGATGTGAGTTGCCAAATGTTGGAGATATCTAGCAAAGAGATGTCTGCCTTCTCTTGAATATTATGGAACCAGATGGCATAAATACATTTTGAGAAAATCGACAGCAGTGTCTCATGACCCAGTTACTCAAGATGATCCACAGACCTTGTTGTGAGCAGTTTCATGTAGGAATTGTCTTCCTACTACCGAACAACACATGCCAACCATATCACACGCAGAAGGAAGTGTGTGACTACTCATGGATGAGAGGCTTGTACTCTTGACAGCACAAAAAGAAATTTTGCCCCAAATCAAAGATACCCATTTGTTGTCTTACATTTAGTGCTGTATTTCAATCTAGGTTGTTTTGGTGTGAGTTGCTGAGTGTTGGAGGCATCAGCTGTAGATATGTCTGCCTTCTTTTAAATATATTTGAACTAGGTGGCAGGCAACTTTCGAAAAACCTAACGGCAATGTCTCTTTCCAGAAATGTTGCCGCGGTTACTCAAGATAATCCACAGACCTTGTTGTGTGCATTTACGTGTGAGAGCTGTTTTGTTTCTACCAAACTACACCCACCAACAGTATCACTGTGCAGAAGGAGGCGTGTATCTACTCATGGACAAGATGCATGTGAGAGTACGAGATGTCAACATTAATGGCGTCATCCTCAGCTGAGCTGTAACATTAGCTAGCTCAGTGTTACCAGGTGATGCAGTAGATGCGCACTTTCTTCTGCGCAGTGATACGGTTGGCCGGTATTATTGGGTCAGGAGAAAATAGTTCCTACATGGAACTGCTCACAACAAGGTCTGTGGATTATCTTGAGTAGCAGTGTCATGATTTCTGGAAAGAGACATTGCTGCTGACTTTTTGGATTTTCTTTCTGCGCTTTGAATACCAAAAGCCAAGTGCCATCTAGTTCCATGATATCCGAGACATGGCAGATATCTCTACAGTCAGTATCTCCAACACTCTGCAACTTACACCAAAACAATCTAGACTTTTAGACTTTTCTGCGGTGTTGTGTTTTCCTCTGCCCTTGCTTCACCCCACAGAAAATAAATGACAGTGTGCTTGCCCACAGAAATGTCGGCTCTAGTCAGCAGCCATCCAACTTTTCCCAGCTTTTTTACTCTATTGTCAAGGATTGTTTTTCCAGTGCTGTCATCTGCGTAAGATGAATGGCAGCGGCTGCATATACTGAATCATTCTCTCTAGTGCAAGGTTTGTGTTAGATGTATATGTCAAAGTTGGAAATGGTAACATGTCCAAATTGGTTTTTTCTCCACCTTTTGACAAACATGACTCTTAAACAGCGAGTGAATGTCCTTTTCGACTACCTTTGCCAGTACCTTGCATTAACAGCCTGAGCAGAAATGGATGGAATTAAGAAACAATTAACTTGATGTTACAGAAAGAAGTGATTTTATTGTTGCTGAGATAAAACCCCTCTGTTTGGACTCTAAATGTTTGTTTCTGTCATTTCTATCTTCTTTATCTACTGTTTATATTGTGCTATGTCAAGAACCCTGCGTAATAGACATGTGTATGTTGTCCTCCAGATTATATATTGTACATCTTCAGACTCTGTACATTCATAGACCATGAAATAAGCAGATCAACTATAGTAAGTCTTTCAATACCAGCACAGCACCCAAAGAAGGTGCTTTTGAGATCCGTGTAGTTTCAGTTTTCCTTACACCTTCTTTACTGCATGGTCCTTACTCATCCAGAAATTTGAAGGAGCACATCGCCGCAGTGTCACTACCTATTCACCCTCATGTCAGCTAACCCATCAGTATTAATGTGAGATCTTACTGGAATGACACCAGACAGTGCAGTGTATAGCTGGGCTGAATGGTTTTAAAAAGTGCACTTGACAGCACATTAGACTTGCCAAAAATAAAAAAGAAAGAAAGAAAAGATGCAAGAAAGACTGATAGCATGAGGCAAAAGATTCTGTCCGCTGCTGAAACGAGAACAACTCTTTAGTTGTAATGCAAAAGGCACAGTAGGTACAGTATCCAGACTGTGAAACACGGTAGAGAGAGCACACCTGAGATATTATCACCTCCAAAATCAAAGCTGGAATGCCCACAGAACAACTGTGTGAAAGCCCACACTGACCCAGCCAAAACTAGACCTGAATCCCCTCACAAAATGTTCCAACTTTAGTGAGCTCGAGCAAATCTGCAACAAGGAGTGAAAGAGAAAAGGAAATCCCCAAATCCAGATCTTCCACACCAGTGCAGGCAGATCCAAGAAGAATCAAACTGTTAATTGCTGCCAAAATATTTCTCTGTATTTACCAAGGAGAGGAGACACAGACTGAAAAAGAAAATGGTGCTTTGTAGCACCCTATGATGTAATAATTTTCTGAAACTGTAGTAACGCCTGAAAATTTAATAAAGGTTTTACTAAACCTTATAATGTAGTAGTTTAACCAATAGTTTAATAAAATGTTCTGACTGATATTGCAATAACATTTTCACCAATAATGTAATACCTTTAAGGTGGGTCTTTTATTTTGTTAATTAATGTAATTATTTTTTCAGAACTGATGATGTAATAATTTTGATAGATAATGTAGTAACGTAAAAAATATATATATATATTTCTCATAAATGTGTTTTCAGTAGGCAAAATGGCAGCTGTGTTATGAATTTTGTATACTTGCGCACTTAACAGCACACTTAACATTTCTGAGGGGAAAAAAGCACTTTTAACATTATTACATGATCCATCAAAAGTATTACGTCATCAGATTTGAAAGGGAAAAAAGCCTGAAAGCCTCCTTAAAGGCATTACATCTTTGATAAAAATGCCATTACAATATAAGTCAGGAAATTACATGACATGAATGGTCAAGTTGTTACATCATTGGGTATTTATTACATTTTTGATCTGGTTAAAGCTGTAGTTGGCACTTTTATAAACATATTTTTGTCATATTTGCTTAAACTGTCACTACGTCTGCGCAGTAGTACAGGAGACCGATAATTCGGGCAACCAAAAAAAATCATATTCCTTTGCCTCCTCGCAGTGCTTCTCATCGCATTTGATATCGCCGAGGACCCTCTAATGCAGCTGTCAGTTACTGCTCGTGAACTGCAGTCAAACAGTCAAACTAGGCAGTGCTGATCAAATCTGAATCAAGATTCTGTTACTGCATTGCCTATTTCTCCCCTGAAATATTTTCAGAAGCATATTTTAGTGTACTGTTTAGCTGTAACCAGCAGTGGGGCAGTGTTTTGTTTTGCTTTATAACATGGCAGCCTGGTCACAACCCTTATCATTTTACAGCTAAACAGTACACTAAAATATGTTTCTGAAAACACTTGAGGTGAGAAATAGGCAGTACAGTAACAGAATCTTAATTCATATTTGATCAGCATTGCCACACAAGCAGTGATTGACATGACTGACAGCTGCGTTAGAGACTCCTCGGCTCTGATTGGTGGTTTTTATTCACATGCTGAGGATTCTAACAAATGCCATTTGCAGCACTAAAAGGAGGCAGAGAAAAATGATTTTTTTCATAGCTTATCTATCACTTGTACTGCTGAGTGAATATAGTGAAAGTTTCAGCAAATACAATAAACTTATTTTATAAACGTTTCCCACTGCAGCTTTAAGTGCCAGTTTTATCACACTTACACAAAGTTATTACATGCTTGCATCCAATTTGCAGCAAGAAATTATGTCGCTTGAAAAGCGTTTTATTTAGATCATTGACAAAACATCTTCATTTTTCTCATTTTGAATTCAGCGCATAATACCACGCATAACTGGAAATGTCACTTTGAATAGTTTCTCCAAGTATTATATGTCCAACAGTGCGTGAGGAAGAATATGAGCAGCTCATTTACTCCATAAATTTAATACATTTGTAACCCAAAACGCTGGCTAATTCTTTTCCGTTTTCTTTGTCCCATCGCAGCTGGCCCTGGAGGACCCGGTGCACAGCGTTTCTCTCCAGCAGTTTGTCTACGAGAAGCTGAAAGCACAGCAGGCCATGATGGGGGACCAGGGCTTCGGAGTCCTGATGGAGACAGTCGACACAGAGCTCGTCAGGCAGCTCCAGGAGTTCCTCCAAGGCCTCTAAATCACGTCTACAATCCTTTACTACCTTACACAAACATCTTTGCCTAATGCTACCCTCTCCCCCCATTTTTGAAGATGTACCGGAAAGGCTAATACTCTGCCCAACGTGTGGACTCCTAATGCAACCCTTCCCAACCTCTGCCCATGCTATGCCTTATCTATATTCAGACCTAGCCTTGTCGACTGTCCTCAGCTAACACCCCTTGTCCCTTTCTCTGTTAACCTGGATTCCTTTACATCCTTTTTTTATTATCAAGATGGGGTCTATGTGGGTACGTGAAAATGTCAGAGTACCTTCACACCCACATAAAAACATCACCACACCAGAGCTTCCACTCAGTTCTTCTAGTTTCTTCTCTTTCTGTGGTTTTAAGGTGGAATGGGTAGAAAGTTGGACAGGTGGTATAAAAGCCGGGGGGTTTGAGGAGTAAATAGGAAAACTCACCTGCAGGTGCCAGAGCAGGAGCCTCGGACTATTTTCTATGGAGAAACGTACAGATTGTAGCAGATATGTGGATAAACCGTACCTAAAGGACCTAAAGCAGTGTTTACAGAATCTATTCTTAAAAAGAGAAAAAAAATGAAATGTAATTTTGTATGTATGTAAAGTATGGATGATATTCTGCATGATATTTTACATTTTAGTTTGTTTTTACTTTGTGTTAATTTCTCTTCCATTTTTTTTTTTAAAAAAAAAGAATAATTTTGTCATAACCAGAGGTCGAATTGAAGTAACTACTGAGAGAACTAGAGAGTGTTTTTGTTTTCTTTTTGAGTTGGGTTCGAGGGAATTTTTGTTTTGACTGTAAAATGGGTGATTTTTAAATGATTGATTTGTAAGAGTGCTGAACCACGTTTATATGTATATACATACTGCTGCTAATTGATGGTGTGTCAGAGCACTTTAATAACCAAAAACTGTTTCACCTGTTTTCATCTTTTTTTCTCAATGGTACATGTTCACACATCATTGTACTTTAACACAGCGGTAGGGGGCCGTGGAGCAGCGCGGCAGGATTGTTCACTTTAGACTTCATCTTGAACTGTTGCCATATTTCATGTCTCAGTGCTAACGTGTACAAAATACTGACTGACTGCAAATGTAACATGCCATTAAGGTTGTGTCTTTAGTATTTCATTTGATCAATTCTGACCTAAGTGGCTGTCGAAGAAGTCCAATCGTGAGCCACTGTGATGCATTGTGTTGCGTTTAGCTGTCCTGCTGCCCTGCCGGTTTTTCTGATTCGACCAGTCATTGGTGACTTTAAAGTGGTAGACATGAAGCTTTGATATTTGATTTGACAGAAGAACCAGCAGGTTTTCTCAGAACAATTGATTATTTGGACGTTTGGCAAACCTATAAAGAAAAGTAATAAATGACTGAATATCGGCACCGAAGTTTTTTAATAGCTAAATGAAGACATTTCTACGAGTGGCATGTGGACCTGTTTCACACAGGATCCAAAAAAAAAAAATCTCTATTGTTTGTCGTAATTTGAAACGTGATTTACTTTGGGTCACTCTGCCTTTGTAATCTTTTCTTCTGGAACTGAATATGGTTTTATTTGCGCTCATGAGGTTGGTAAGCCTCCCTGGGAAGGAGATAATCCTGACACTAGCTCCTTTGACACTGTGATAGAGTTGAGTAGCAGTCAGAATTACGGCCTTATGCTTTCAGCCTTACCTATCCTTGAAACTCAACAGACCTTTCTTACTATTATGTTCATTTCTTAACTAGTTAAACAGTAGAGGATTTCTGTACTTGTATTTGGTTATTGACCGCGATTATGAAGTTTAGAGCGTAACACGAAGTACAGTAGAGAGATGTTTTTGGGTTATAGATTTGGTTATGCTTTGTTGGGAAATAATCCTTGTTGCTTTTTCCAAAGCATTCAATAAAATGCAGTAATCAGCCAAAAATTTTAGTCTGTGTATTTTCCATTGCTGATTTTACGATGCATCTAACTGAAGACAACTGTCTCGGAGTATATTATTTGCTGTCCACTTTTTTGGAGTGTGTTATTTCAGGCGAATTATGCCATCATTGCACTGCCACTAACATGCAGTTTAATAACTGACTGATGCACTTGAAGAGGGACTATTACCCTGGATACTGGACCACTGAGGACCAAACTGATGGCAGTGGAAAAGGAAAGAAGGAGTGTCTCTGAAAGAGCAGTATTGTGGCACACATTTACTGTCTGGTGTGCATGCGATACACGTGACATGCAAGCCATGATCAGTCTGGGACTGACCTTGAAAAAAGAGGAAAATGGTTGGTTAGATAATGGGGAGATAGCCAGGAGTAATTTAACTAATTGATAAAATGTCACCCACACAGAGGGGGTGGAAATTCATCGATTGGAAATGGAGATGACTAGAGGCTACATCCATGCAGGCCATTCTGTCAGCAGTGTAAATGGCTGTCCACACCAACAACGATAACTACAACAAAAATTTGAAATATGTAGTTTTAAAAGTTGTTCTACCTCAGGTGACTGGCAGAGTCCACACTACAACTTCAACAACATAGACAGTGGCAAACAGTATTGTTGGAATTACTTTCAGAGTGATTTGATGAACGACAGAAACAATGACAGTATCCATACTCCACCGCTGCCGACACTGCTGGAGCTCACAGCTTGTGCTCAGCGCCACATTATTGCTCAGCAGTGCGATGCAAATATTGTTGTCGTTATAGTTCAATCAGGAGAGACTCCTTAGAGAAAAGAATATTTATTTACATGTGCATATAAGTATGAGAAATGTGAAAATTCTTTAATCGCCAAAGACGCCATAGTAAAGATGTAGTGGATTAGGGAACACCCCCTATGGAGTCTAGACACTGGGGGTGGTAATGGTGGTCATGAGATAATGTGAAGAGGAGTGGGATTTTGATGAGCTCATCCTGGGCTCTGGATAAGGTGACTGGAGGTGAATGGGGAGGAGGAGGGTGTGACGATTCCACCTATAGTAACAGCTGACAGGAACAGAGAGGAGAACAGATTTAAAGTTGGGCAGCAGCAACATGAATGGCTGATGGAGATGGTCGCAAAGTTTGATTGGCTAACCAGGAGAGAAAACACCCATAGTCAGCTGATTGGTGGAAGTGATGGGAGCGGGATAGAGAGAGAACTGTGAATGGATATAGTATAAAGAAAGTCTTTCTGATTGAACTTATGCTGAGCTTCATTTGTTCTTGGTGTGGAGAGCTGTAAGACTTTATTTTGGCAGATAAGTTATTGCTGACATGCACATAATGACAATATTACCATGTTTATCAGGTACAATGTGTCGAAGGCTGATGGGAATGTTAGTCTTGCATGTATTTGGTCATAAAACAAAGCTACGAGACAAAAACTTTTGACCACATGATACTGCCAAAAGAAAAGGTGATAACTGAAGTCATTCTCTCCTGTGGGTGACATGAATGCATGTACTAACTTTCATGACAGTTGTCTGTATACCATAAACCATCAACCCAAATTCAGGGAATCATTAGTCATTAGGATACCTGTAAACCATGGAAAAATATACAACATTCAACAGCAACCCATACAGTATTTGCTGAGATATTTCAGTCTGGACCGAAGAGGGTTGATCAACCCACCAACATTTCCATCCTTTACAATGCTGGCACTAGCATGGCTAAAAACTGGTCGTAAAAGAAATAATAATTTAAAAAATACCATGTGAAAGTGTTGGGTAAGGTAAGCTTCCTAAACAAGTGGTTCCTAACTGGTTCAGCCACGAGGTCCAGATTTCTCCTTAGAACTTCGTTCAAGGTCCACACGGTTGAATATATTCAGCATCATACTTGAATCAAGTAGCTGTTCATTAGTCAGTCACTCTACAGCAGGAAACAGATTTTAGAAATAAAGGCTCTGTGCTGGAAATTCACTGCACTTCAAAATAAAGCATGTTTTACAAACACGTTTGCGAGTCACTTGCGGTCCATTCAGAATGGACCCATGACCCACCAGTTGGGAACCGCTGACCTAGATGATTATCTCCTATAAGTTCATTACATGGTCAGGCCTCTGCAACATTTACTTAAGTTGGTTTTATGTCTGTCTTTATTTAACAACACTGTGCTACTTTCCTAGTGGCAATCCAATCACCAGAATAAATGTTGGCATTTTACATTTCTGCAAACCACAGATATGTTACATATGTACATTTCATATGTAGCAGATATGTAGAAACTTTATGTTTCTTTTCATTTCAGGTGTCAATTTTATGTTGTCACAGCGCTGTGCTATGTTGTTCTATCATGTTTGTTGCTATGTTTAGGCACAAAAAACAATGGGTTAGGGTTAGGAAAAGATCATATTTTGACTTAAAATACCCAGTTTGGTCGGCACAAACACTGCTGCAAATGTCCAGACCTCTCCATGTTGGTCTCAAACAATCGTCTGTTGCTGTCTGCTGCTTGTCAGCTGTCTCACCCATGTGTCCCATCACCCACCATTCCCTCCTTTTCCATTTTATGTTGGGGGCGCCCACTAGCTCACCTGGTAAAACAGGCAAGCCATGTACAAAAGGTTATGTCCTTGCCGCAGTGGCCGTGGGCTCAATTCTGACCCATGGCCGTTTACTGCATGTCATCCCCTTCTCATGCTCTATGTGTCCTATCAAATAAAGGCAAAAGCCCTCGCACCCCCCACAAAAGTTTCGTAACTGTGGTTTGCAGAAAAGTGCAGTGCCAACATTGTACTGCGGCGCCTAAGCAACTCATGAATGTTTCACAGTAGAAATTAACTTACTGTTAAACAAAAGATGACCATTCATTGTGACCTCTGAGAGAACAAAGGAGCTATATTGCTTTTTTCCATACATTGTGTTCCTCTCAGGGAATTCCAAGCTGCAGTAGTCAGCAAATGTTGCAGAAAAAAACAACTGTGAAACTTTTTTAATGGTTACACATGTAGCTGTGGTACAAGCAGTTCTGCTCAGTAACTACAGGCTCTACAAAGCAAATAAATCTAGTATGCTTTTCTACAGACTGACAAAATTCTCCCGCAAGTTTGGCCACAGACTGCCAAAGGAAAGGAAAACAAAGGCAGCAGCAGCCGGCATCGACCCATTTGTCAAGTGCCCAAGAATAAATGTACTTCTGGCAACTGGTCACTTGAGTGGCTTATAGAGTGCTAAGAGACGATTAAGGATTCTACACCCATCTTCACTTCCCGCCCTGCCTTTTCTTCCTCCACAGCACTATTAATCCGAGCGACTCAGCCATTCATCTTTCCTCTCCCACTGCCTTTCATCCTCACTCCTATTGCACTTACTACCAGTGTAGTCCTTCGCAGACAGATAAGAGCCACAGGTAGAATATCTGCGAGGCTTTGTGTTAATTATCCCGTGGAATGCATGACAGAGGAGCGCAGGAGGATTAGCTCTAATCTATAACTTGCATTCTTCATTAGATTAGTTACCCACTTCGAAGATTATTGTTTCACAGCAGCTTCTTCCTCTCTCCAAAACTTTGGCTAATTGTTCATTTTCGTATTGATGCTCCTGCAGTTGTAGACACTGAGTCATGCAGCTCCCAGGAAGCATTGTAAACATTCTCTGCGTGTGGAAAGTAAAAGTTCAACAAAATAAATGGAATTTTTTGCAGTTACACTTCACCTTAAGTACCCTAAAGTTCTTCCCTTTAACCGTCTAGCCACCTATGGTGTGGAGCTGCTCTCCAAATAGAGAGACACTTAAAGACCGAAACACTCTGTTGTTGTCTGGAGGCTGCACTGTTTTGGTATTTAATACAAAAGAAATCAATAGCAGACGTTTACAACTTTACATATAGCTGGCACAACTATTTTAGCAAGTGTTTAAAAGAATAGTTTGGAAATAGACTGATACTACCCTCATGTGCGCACAATAAGTTGGTTATCTTAGCTTAGCATAAAGACTGGGAATGGGGAAAATCAACCCATTCGCTTAAGTAAATGTTGGTATTGTATGTTTCTGCAAACCACAGGTAACATTTGTACATTACTATGTAGTAGATATGTTGAAACCATGTTTTTTACACTGAAGTTAATGTGTAGTTTACTAGCAAGAACCACGCCACAACAATATGTCATTTAAAGGTTTAATTGTAATTCAGAAGGTGTTAGTTGTTGAGGACAGATGAATGGATGTAAGTGGGGGTGAAGGTGGAAGAGGGATGCCTTCTGTTAGGTTGGTCTGGGAGGATGTACTGAAGATCTGGCAGAGGGTTCTGTCTCAGGTGTTTTCCCCCCCGAGCTGATTACAAGCCTCCCAGACGGTACCTAGAATGAGACATGGGAGAGGTAGGCACCAGATTGAATAAGAAGAGATGAGGGGAGACGGGAAAAGAGGATGAAGGAATGCGGGTAGGTACAAGCAGAGGGAAGGAAGGTGGTGGGATTAGGTAGGGAGGGAGGGAGGATGATGGATGAAGGGAAAGGGAGAGTGGGTCGAGAAATCAGAGACAAACAGCAAGATGGGTTGACCAGGTACAACCTCCTGAGACCCTGCGCCCTCAGATGAGGACATCACATTCTGGGTTTGTTGCACCTTGCACTTCATTCTACTTAACTTAGACCTGTTGTCCTCGTTCATGGACAGTTCTTTGTGCCATATAGTGGTAGCTAAAGCACAATGCACGGACGCATGTAAAAACAAGATGGCAATGTTCAGGTGAACAGTAACTTGTGACTATTAAGGCAAACCCAACGTCCCCATATGAGGACGTTTTTTTTTTCTCCAAAACTACTTTTTGTTCAAAGACAATGTTTCGCTTTTTATACTTATCAGGTCCTACTGATCACAAATAGTTTTGAGACATTAAAATATCATATCAAATAGGAGCTGAGGTCTCAGGAAGATAAGTAGGCTTGGCAGGAAATCGGAGGTGTGGTTGAGGCGTGGTCCTGCCCCAAAACCTAAGT